TATAACCATGCAACCGAAACATTTAGCCGTTGGAAAATTAGAATAAAAAGTTATAAATAGATTTTTGTTTTCGATTAGAGGCGACAGTGAATTTATATGTCTGCATAATAATGAAATAAAAAGAAAGTATCCGTTACATTGATCTGGAAGAGAAGAAATAAATATTTTATGTTTGTTTTAAAAAGATTAAGTTTGTGATTTATTTTAAATGTAATTCTATTAATAAAAATCAGCTTAAGTAATGAAAGATAATTTTAAAAGATAGAAAATAAATATGTGTATGCCAATTCTGGCATCACAGACTCTATACAAAATATTTTATTTTATCATTTTTTACCAAATTCTTCAGTTAAAAATGAAGTGGACATCATCATTAGTTTGTAATTTCAGATCTATAACTTTAAAAGGCGTGGTTTTAAATAATTTTTTATAAATTTTTTTTTTTGCAGAACTTATTTTTAAATATTTACAAAAACACGACCCTAAACAAAAGAATTCAATTTCTGTGTTTTAGATTCATGAAATTTATAAGTAAATATTTCACAAACTGTCTAGACAAACCAATGGTTTCCTTTTTTTTTTTGAAAAATTTTAAAAACAAGACCCGATTTTTGCTAATTTTTAAAATTAGGAATGTATTTTTACAATTACGCAAAAACTGAACCCCTCATTAAAAGTTCAGAAAAATCTCAGTATTTATAACAGTGTACGAAACAAAAGGGTTTATTTTTCTTATTAAATCGTTAAAACGGATTCTACTGTACTAATTTCTTCCCTTTTTTTTTAACTAAATAAATAACATTGTATTAACTTTTTTGTTTTTAGGAAAATCCAGATAACGGTGATAATGCTAAAGAAGAAGAAGGTGTTATGGCTGCACCCAAATAACTTATACTTTTTGTTTGCTAATTATATTGAACATAATGACTCACTTTTTACAAATTTAAAGGTGACAATTATAATTGTTGTCATGGTTGAATTTTATGCACATCTGAGTGCCTATGAACTAAGTGTTTTCTGTTATAAGATGACTTAACACAGTGTAAATGAGTATTTAACAAGCATAGGATTATAAAAGATCTGTGTGTAGCTTTTTGAAATTGCACACCAATTCGCATTTATCTTCCTCCATAGTAAATCGTGGCTGGTTCCATAAACAGATTTGCTTTACTTCAAGATATTCATATCTAATATCCTTTGTAAATAATAAGTCCTTATTTTGTAAATCCTTTCATTGATGTCTTATTCAGAAATATATGAAATCTGTTTGAAAAGGATAATTTGTTTTTGCTTAAATTTAAAAAAATACTAAATGTGGAATGATAATTTTTGTTGTTGTTTGTTTAGTGCTAGTGGTGTACAATATATCACATTTACCTAGTAGATTCTTTTTTCTCTAACCTCTAAAATTATTTTTATTTTTAAACTGTTCTAACTATAATTTCTAAACTATAATTTGGCATTTTAACCTCTAAATTTTAACAATCATCAGATTAAGAAGTATGTTGAATTAATAAGTTTAAGGAAAATGTTACAGCATCAGCAGTTTGTGGATCAAATTTGAAAACTGTGATAACATTATAATAAAAGGTTCATCAACTTTTTATTAAATAATTTTTTTTTCCTTCTCAAAATGTTATAAGTTTGTTGTATTTCTGAAAACATATTTTATAGTGAAATAGTTTAGTCCTTGACCGTACACCTTCAAATCTTTTGGAAAAAAAATCTGCATGACTTTTTTGATTTAATCAGAATCTACAATTTTAATTTTTTCATTGAACTTTGTTAACTTTATTTTCCAGAACTACTAAAGTAAATTAAGTTTATTAATAAAATTACACCAAATAATCTGGTCAAATTGACCAAAAACTCAACATTGTTTAGCATTTGAGTTACTTTTAAGGAGAAAAAAAAAACAAGTGAAAAAAAGTGTAAAGAGGAAGTATATTGGTTTAGGTTCATTAAAGTACCCTTTAAAAAATATGCTTTTTAACGCAGTGGATCTAAAGTAACTGAAACTTCTTAGGTCCAAGATAATAAAACAGCTTAAAAAATATGTCTCACATATATGTGTGAAACCCCCACTTCTAACAACTATTTTTTAAGATTTACGTAAGTGACCCTTAAGCAATTAAAAGTTAAGTTAAAATAGTATGTGATAAATACTTACTATTAAAAATACCTATTTCATACTTTATACTATAAATTATACTATTATTAATACTACTAATACTTATTACATCACATTCATTGAATGGGCCAGAAAATTGGTCCTATATCATAGTGCTATAAAGTCTGATTAAACAGCATACCGCAGTATGCTCTACTCTGATGGCCCTGGTCTGCTCTGGGTGCCATGCTTGTGTCACTCCAATCGGTAGCACTTTTTCTACAACTGACTGTTTTTGCTGAACCTGATGTGTGCTTGAAATTTAGTATTATTTAAATTTATTGTCAATTAAAGGTTTTTATTTTTAAGGAACAAAATTAACAACAGAAAATTGGTTATATAATATTTACACAGATAACCACTATCTATATATGTATATGTCAGGGCTCGAAAAAACTCAGAAATTTTGCCCCCGTCCCTGAGAACGGCTTGTCCAACAATGTACCCGTCCTTCTTTAAAACTAACCCGTAGCTTCTAAATAAATAAAAATAAAATTTTCTCTTATTTATTACAAACATTTATATAAATTACACAATGAATTAGTAGTTACTAGGATTACGTTATACAGTAATAAAAGAATTAACGGGATTTCTAGATTTGAGGGTCATTTTAGAAGTGAGCTGCTAGACTCTTGTAAGATAACAAAAATCGAAAATGTATCACGAACATTAACAGGAAAATGGCCGTCCTTGCGGACTTTGAATTCGAGAAATTCTTTGTCCGCGGGGAATTTTTGACCGCCGAGGACGGACTGTTTTTTGAGCTCTGGTATATATATATATGTATAAATAACTATATGACTGTACCATGATGTAGTTTTATTCTTCCTAAAAACTTTTTTTTTTACTTCGACTTACGAGTTTTCATTAATAAATTTGAAATAAAAGCGCAGTGATTTTCAAATGCATTTTTCTACGGAAATAATGTTTTACAAATTGTTAAAACAGGAGCTGTTTCTACAAAGATTATAGTAATAATAAATTTTATTACGAATCATTATCCAATTAGTATTCAATACTATTTGTAGAAAACAAAGAACAAAAATTGTTTCAATTAAAAATTAATTAATTAAAAGAATATGGTTATTTGTAAGATTTACAAATTTTTAAATTTGCTCTGATATTTTATATTTATATACTACTTTCTTGCAGGATTGGAATTATTTTTTGTACTAAAATATCTTTCACATTAAAAAAAGATTGTTCATTTTTATTTTGCAATTTAAATTTTTTAATTAAAATTCAATTCTCTTTATAAAAAAAGGTAAATAAAAGTAATAACTTTTGTGAAGCTATGTTTCTCTTATCAATAACCATACATCTTTGATGCAACTGTTTTCATTGTAAGACCTCATAATAAAATAATCAATTATCATTGGATGAAACATAATTTACTTTTTTTGACAGCGCAATATATGTGTTAAGCGCAATTTGAGCCGTTGTAAGGATTAAATGTGAATTACTATTTGTGAATTTTGAAATATGAGAGAAATTGAGAGTATTATGTAGATTATTTATAAACAAGTGTGCAATTTATTATTTATTAATGCCTTACTTTATCAGATTTACTGTATTTTTTTGTGTGAAGAAATGCAAATAATACAGTTATTTATTTTGTTCTATATTACCTGAAAATAATAGACCAGCTTATAATAACTAAAATTAATGTTTATTGCTTCATACAATTTACTTTGTGTTAATTGGTGTTCTTCTGCTATAATTCTTGATTGTCATAAGTATTAGGCTTGTTAAAATTATTTATTATTGATTTTTTTTTAATACTACTTAATGATCCTAATAATATTACTTATTTAAATAGCCTTAATTTCAACTTTACTGATACATATACTAGTTGCTAAAAAGTGCACATTTATAGTTTTGAACATAGCAATAATGTGGTGTTAGATACTAACCCCTTTCACAGATTATTGTTAAATAAAATCACATAAATTATTGATAAAGTTTTATCTGTGAACTTCAACAATAAAGGTTTATTTTATATTACATGAAAGGTTAGAATTTCCATGGGTCTTGGAAATATCAAAAAATATATTTAAAAAAAATTTATTTTAAAACAAAAAATTTTATTTTTTTTAATTAAATTTTTTTTGTTATAATCTGAAAAATCACCAACCTTAGAATTAGTTAGTACTAAGTAGTTAATAAAATTAACAAAGTTAGTCTAATATTGGTTAAAATTATTTATTGTCAATTAAAATCCATTAATCGAACATAAGGCTTGTATGAAATGTTGCAACTTTAGCTTCATATTGTTTTTTATACTTGCATATTGAATTAAAAAAAGAGAGTTTTATGATAAAAAAATATTATACAAAACTGCAGTGTCTTACAAAAGAATGTTGAAAACTTTTTGGATAGCTCTTGAAAACTATGATTATTTTCTGAAATTGTATGTGAACCCTATAATGTAAAGGGCTTATTTCCCCCCGTTTTTTCAAACATTGTATTTTACACACAACTAAAAACAAATTAGTATTCTATGTGGATAAGACAGGTTTATGTGACTTTTACTCGCAGAACGCAAACGATAAGAAAGAGGCATACAGGTGGTGAATACTTATAGTTTTTCATTTGGGTGCAAAGAGGTGGTGTGTGCATGCTAATACAAAAGTATGGAAATTTTCCTCTCCTGTGTCTCTTAATTACCGTTTGCCTCCTCAGTATGTGGCCTGCCTAAATTCAATCTGTGAAAGAGGTACGAGTAGTCACATTATTGCTATAATTGTGGCTATTTACAACTCTACAAGAATTTTTCATTCATTGATTTGAAATGCATATATATATATGTATTTATTTTTTTGAATTTAATTAACCTAGATACTAAGCATTTGTGCTTTTCAGTTATGCAGTACAACATTTTTGCTATTATTTTTTGTTCCAAAGCAATTTTGTTGCTTTTTGTTACATTGTCATGTATGACAACTAGTCTTATGTTACAACAAACAAGCACATACAGAAGCACAATATTCTCTTTTTATACTTTTGAAGTGTTTTATTATTATTATTATTAAACCATTGTTGCACTCTTTATAGCAAGGCATCAAAATTTTGATCTATATATAAAATAATATCTCAAAGCAAGAGTAGACACCTGTGATAAAATTTTTTGGGGATCAGTGTTCAATAGATTTTAGCTGTGATTTGCTTCCATGTTATTGTTGCTTCCATAATATTCTATCTTGTAGCTTCCATTTTTTTTCCTTTTGGAGCAAATTTTGTATAAGTTCTGGCAAATTATTGTTTTTGCCATTTTTTAAAAGTTTTCCAAAATACCAGATTATTATTTGTTGCTTAAATACACATTTCTGTTATCCTTTATCAAAAATTAAATTTAGTTTTCTAATTATACTTATGCATGTTATAAATTTTGAGCTATTCTAATTAACCGAGGTGATAAATATCAAGTTATACTAAGTTTACACCAGCAAATTTCAAATAAAATATGTCACAAAAAATTTTCTGAACTCAAAATTAATAAAAAATAAATTTCTCTGTGGTCACATATTTACCTAAAATATTTTTGGCCAAATTGAGAAAAGAAAAAAAAAAATTGAGGTCTCCTAAAATGGTTTGTAACAAAAAATTTTTAGGTATAGCTACAAAAAAATTTTAATTTCCGAAATTTCTTTTTTTAATGATGCACCCTAATGTTAAAATTGAACAACTCACCAAGTATTAAAACTATTACATTTAAATGAATAACAGTGTAAATGATATGCATAAAAAAGGTTTTCTATAGAATGTTTTTCTTGAAAATGTTTCATGACAAAACATTTCATTCAACATCTCATTTTCATTTTTTATGAATGTGTCAAGATTTAATTTATGCCTTCTCAATTGCTTAGAGATGATTAAACTGTTCTTCATTTGTGTGAAAGTATAATTTTTCTTACAAATTTATGTTCCTTCAACCAATTTTACTTCATATTAAAAAATCTAGAAGATTTAGCTATTATGCATCATAATTTATTTCTTATTACAGTATACTTTCAATTATACAGTATGCTCCAATATTACAGTATACTTCTAATTATGTGAACAGATAGTTTGAGTTTGACATGGCTTGTATAAAAAATATATCTTGCTGGGAGGTGGAAAAAAAACTTATCAGCAGAAAACAAGTTTAGGCAAAGCATGATGGCGTTTCACGTTATACAAGGAATACCTTCACCTTGAACTTGGATGATTTACGTTTTTGATTAAGTAAAAACTAAAAATATTAATTTGTTTTAAATACTGAGAATCCTGTAATAAATTATTCAAAACGTTATTACAGCCAAAATCAAAAAGTGTTTGACTTGAAAACAAATTTTTTAATAAAAATGTTTTTCTTCTTCTTTCAAGCTTTATCAATAATGATATATGTTTTAAAATTTATAATCAATTAATAATAATTCAGAAAAAGCAATATTCTTTCTAGTGTAACTTTTTCTACTGCAAAATTAATGATTTTGAATAATCCATGTTTTAAGTGTCATCCTTTCAAGCAATTCCCTCATTATTCGACAGTATACTGAACTTGAAATGAATTTTATAACTCCCATTTTTGATCAAATATTAGCATTTTCTAGAAATCAAGTTGAACCAGCATTTGCTTTAAAACTTCCAGCCATGTTTGTCTTGCCATGTTTTTTTTATACTAGTTTATATTGTTCTATCTTTCTTGTAATGTCTCTGACAAGATTTTCAGTTATCTGAAAAAATTTTACTGTGTGTAGCTTTGCTGTTGTTTTTTATGAATTTAAATGCACTCTTTTTTTGTTTTTTAAAAAAAATATATATTGTACAGTTGAGAAAAAGGGTTAAAATTATTGTAAAATAAAATCATTACATATTGGTTATTTTTGTGCCATTTTTTCTCTTTGTTCTGGGAAAATAATTTTAATAATAACTTACAATAGTATAGTTAATGAAAAAAAAAAATACTAGTTGTTTCAGGGTAAATTACATTAATTTCTTTAAGCCTTAGCCTTTGAACCACGTGAATTTATCACTAATTGCTATCAAAAGTTTCTCATGCAATGAACTTTTTCAAGTACTTCATGTTTCCTACCCTGTGTAACAACTTAGCATTTTCATTTAGTACAGACACTCAGTTGGCATAGCGAGCTTAGTCTTTTCCCATCATGGACTCTGGTCCAGGTTTAATTCCCGCACGTTGCTAAAATTTTTGTGTTTGACCAGACTGCACAGTTTCTAATTGTATCTTAATATTTTGCAGCAACTCTAATATAATGTCCATATAAGTTTTAAAACTGGAAAAGACCATGTTCTGTTGGGGAGTTTGGTGCAGAGTCTTGGCAATGACCATCTGTCCTCTGATCTGAATTGTGGTCAGGGACCGGTCAAGACAGATTCATGCCCTAAGCCCACCAAATTTTCCGGGCCCCTTACAAAATATTTTGAAATTAAGTTACTGAAGAGTAGTCCTAACAATAAAAAATAATCTGTTGAACTGCATGATTCAAGAGAGACATTCTGAGAAATTTTGAAAACAGACAATTGAAGATTATTTTTTCTAAGATAAAGTTTACGTACCTATAAATTAAAGCAAAATATAAAACAACAAAACAATGTTATATTAAAATAAAAATAGTTTGGTGGCCACAAACAATTGAAATCAGTGAGTAGCTGAATAATTTTTTTTTATAAGCAGTAATTATTTTTGATTTAGTACTTACACCAGCATAACGCTAGCCCACCTTTCATTAGACTTTTTACTAGTTTTTGAGGCCCCTCAGAAATTGTGGGTCCCAGGCCCATGCCTATTGTGTCTAGGCTATAATCAGACCCTGATTGCGGTAGTGTAGGGAGCACCTCCGTAAGTATTGCCTACAGATTATCATAAAGGATGAATCCCAAACAGTCGCCAATAGCTGTAACTACAGTGCAATGTTAAGAATCATCTAGTACAAATTTCAATTGGTATAATTATTTGCTTTTCACTTAGGAAAGGCCTATCATGACTTATCACTAAACATTATTGTAACCATTTTTATAAAGTATTCTACAAACATCCACATATCAGCAGTAACCAGATTATTGTTTTAAAAATTTTGCGAAGATGAACAACAAAAGTTCTTACAAAATATCTACGTTTTGACTTAGTGTTTGAAAATATGAAATTGATCTACCACTGTTGTAATCAACTTCTCATAAAAGTAAGGGTTTATGAAATTTTAAGTAAGAATAATACTCATTATGGTGTATTATTTATTGTTTTGTTAAAAGTTTACAAAAAGAATGGAGTCATTCTATATGATATGCCAGAAAAGTCAAAAATTTTTTTGCAGTAGTGCATAATTCTCTTTAGCTATAAGAATTTGTGTAAATAAGAATATTAGCATGAATAAATTCAGCATGTTTTAACTTTCTCAAAAAGTATTAAATAAAATATTTACTAAAATTTAAAGCTTTTCTACTGAAAGTAATTAGCAGTCTTAATGTTCAAGTAAAAATGAAAGAATTTAAGACATCTAAGCAAATGCATTCAATATTTTTTTTTTCATTCAACGACTGATTATTGTATTTATTATATTTCTTTTGATCAACATAATATAGTTAGATATTTTATGAAAACAACTCTAGTTTTGAAACTAAGCACAATGCTTTAAATTGATATTTTTATTCAAATCACAGATGGTATTTACAATGCGTATATGATTATGAACTTATAAAACATTCATATAAAGTACAATTTATTTATGTAATGATAGAGAAAAGGCATGTGATAAAACAATCTATGATTATGGACTTATTAAACATTCATGTAAACTACAATTTCTTTATGTAATGATAGAAAAAAGGCATGTGATGAAACAATCTTTTCTAAAACACAAATTTGTGTGCTCTCTCTTTCCAAAGCTATTTTTTTACAGGAGTTGGAACTACTAAAAAAATTAAAGGACTTGTGAGATTTTTTTTTTTTTATGTTGAGTACAAAATTTACCTTTAGATGATATAAATAAAAATGCATTTTTCTTCCGTAATAATGTCTTATTATTTTATCCTTAACATTCAAAATCAAATTCATTAGTTTTGTTTATCAGATTTCAAACTAAATGCCATAAAATATCTAGTGGAAAATTATTCCTCGGGTACCAGTAAGCAATTGTCAACAATAAAGTTTTCCAACTTTATTTCTTTGATTATTGCTTTCGATCCTTTATCAGCACGTTGAATCACTGCGGTGCCATGAACGTCAATATCTTCATAAAAAGTTTTTTGTTTATTGCTGGCAATGCTGAGAACAGCATCCCCGCTAAAATGGACATTAGCAATTTTCTCTACCAATCCAGAATCTTTTACATCTGTGGCTATTTCAATGTCCTCAGATCGAGCTGGATTGTTCACTATAATTCTGCCAATGTCGTTGTTTGATATGAGGTCAAGGATTCTGAAAACAGAGTTCGGTGTGACAGTCTGGAATGTAAGTCCGAAGCCTTGAGGATGGCTGTCTGACCAGAAATAGTTTTTATTGTTGTTCAAATTGTTGCCGCTGAAGGTCAATCTCTTGCCGTAGCCTAAACCAATGCTTTCAAGGGTTAGGCCTTGTCCGTGAAAAAGGTACTCTTTTGTTGAGTTTTTTCTCACCTTGTATTGGAAACCAGGAACTATATTTTTGTCTATGTATGTACCTGAAACAAAAGAGAAAATCAGTTTTTGTTGGCAATTTATACAAAGTATGTTTGAAATCGAGCCGACCGGACTTTGTAAGGGTCAGGGAACTGGCCTTGCAAAAGAAAGGTTCCGTGTTCGAATCCCGGACAAGGCATAGATGTTCTTTCATTCTCTGTCCTTATTGTGGGAGCAACGTTGGCCCACCTAATATCGTGCCCCTGAAAGAGTGGCCAACAAATTTGCCCTAATACGCCTGAATTGACGGATTGTCTACCCAGGTGGGCTTTGGAAAAAAAAATATTTGAAATCAACAATTTCGATTTTTATGAACAATTTCCCCTTTTATAGAGTAAAATATTAAAAACTTTAAAAAAAATTAGTTTTAATTTGAAAAATTAATAATTTTTTGCAGTTTTCTTTTATTAAACGTTTGAGATCTACATTAAAAAAAGTCTCTTTGTTTTAAATTTTTAAAATTTCTCTACTCCTAGCATTGCAACTATTATAAAGGGTATTTGGTAATCATCGCTCTTAATATATATTTTTAGAATCTTTGTCAAAACTTATTTTCAAATTTTGCACACTTTAGGAATCACATATTTGTAAGAAATGAAATTATTATGTTAATCTGTCTGATCGATTTTAAGGAAAGAGAGATAAAAGAAACATCAAAAAATAATTTGACTGCTGAATGAAATTAAAAAAAAGTTAGCTAATCACCGACCACCTCCTTACAATTTCCTTCCAAAAAATTGAACTAATTCTTTATAAGAGTTAAGGAAATGTATCGAACAAATTTGAACATAAGTTGTTTCTATTTTACCGATTAAACAAACTTGTGCGTTCTTTTAATGAAAAAAATAAAATTTTTCAAATTGAAAAAATATGATTTTTTTTAAAAAATAAAACTTGAGTTTAGAAAACATTTATTCTTCCAAAGATTTGTTTAAAAGAAAAACATAAAAGTTTATATCCAGTTTCCTATATTGAAGAAATTATAAGAACTAAGTAGTATATATATATATATTTATATATATATAAACTGGGCAGTGGTGAACTGCGCTCAGTAATTGCCTAAATTATGACCCCCACCCCTAACAGTATGCTGATTGCGCTTCTAGTTGGTTATGCTTCTATGTAGGTCTCTCTGCTCATTGACATGCGAAGGGTGCAATTTATAAAAGTCAAGCACTATTTTGGCAACCGGCTTCTATTTGGCGGAGAAATGTATCAAAATATATTATGTCAAGTTATTAAATTTGAGATATTTCAATCAGGATTAGATTTACAATTAGATTAAAATACATTTAAAAATGCTTTATTTAAGCATTAATCGAACTATTCTCTGCTTTAAAAACTTACTCTTTTTTTTCTTTTATTATTTTTTCCCACATATGTTTATAGATATTTTAATTTCACAATTTTTCTCACTAATTTAGTATAGGACAATATTTATGCCATTAATTTATATATACTTTCCTTCTGATTTTTTTTTAATAAGAAGAGGTCTTCTCATACAACTTACTACTTATCACTTTAAAAATCTTTTCAACATTTTCATTTAATGATAATTTTAGGGTAAAATGCATAGATTTTATGAGAGTATAATCATTAGCTTAAATATTTTAATATATTAATATTTACATAAATCTTTGTCTAATTTATTGAAGTTAATTAGTTAGATTTAACAGCCTTAAGAAAGATTTTTTTTAACGATTTTGTTTACTTATCCTGGGATGTATAGCTATGCCTAAGAAAATTGATGCTTAAATATTTATCTAAATATGTACTTTAATGTGTATATTTTTCTATTTTAAATGTAAACCTTACATTTAATTTACGATGCTTTTAAGGAAAACATTAATATAAAGTCTAATTATTTTGTCTATTTTAATTTTTTTCTCTCGCTTGAAATTATTTTTAATTCGTTCTTCTTTGTAACTTTGTAGTAAATGTTTTATTCTAAGCATCTTAAAATTAGTTTTCTACATATATTGAAAATCAAATTTTTGCTACAAAGTTACAGAAAACAAAACAGAAAGAATTAGTTATAAACCATTTCAAACGAAAAAAAGAAATGAATGAAAAAATTCAACTTAAATGTTTTTCTTTAAATACATGATAAATTAAATAGAAAAATAAATATAAAAGAAAATTAAATAGTATAAAATAATAATATAAAATTAAATAATATAAAATAAATTAAATAGAAACGAACACAGTTTTTGTAACATTAATTATGAATTAATTTAGAAAAAAATTATTAATATAAGTTTCAAATATTTCACTGAAGTATAATTAATAAATAAATTCTTTAAAGTAGGAATTTCGAAAAGTCTAATTTAATTGATAATGTAAGCTTATTAAGGAAGTCGCTGTTGATATGCATGCAAATTATTATGTTTCAAAATAGACTATACGTGAATAAGTGTGATATGAAGCTTTTAAATAGTAGTTTTTTATTTAATATATTTAAAATAATTTTCTGGTTAAAAGCATATTTCAAGTACACCCATTTACTTTTTTGCTAATTAACATTCAGTGCTTATTGAATACGTAGATAGAGTGCATCAAGACTTCCTCAGACTAGAAAGACGTGTTTATCAGTTATGTTTTCTTATCTAAACTAATTATTTTTCAATAGGTAAACTGACAGAAATCCCGATTTTTAACAGTCATTACCAGGTTGAGCCTGAAAAATATAATTGTGATTTTTTTAAACTCAGTGATTAGTTTGTAATAATATAATAATTTGATCTATTTTAGTATGAAATATCAACTATTTTAGTTCTATTTCTATTAAACAATAGTATTATTTACATCTTTTATCAGATGCTTTGAATGGTAAATTTTAAAAAATTCAATAAATTTTGTTTTAAAAAAACATCTAATTCAAATCAAATGTGAACAATTTTGGAGTAAAAAAAAGGTTTTGCCAACCATGACTTCTGGTCAGAGTTGTAGTCATTAACTTTTTAGTGTAACGGTAAAAATTCGAACATTTTACGTGGAAATCTTTTTCAAAAAAATAATATGCAGAAGTTTGGTTAATATAGACTGGTTTAAAATTCTTTGAAATCAAAGTTTTAAATATTAAAGTAAGGATTTTACAATTTAATTAAAATT